GTGTTACTGTTACATGAGAAACTATCTGTTCTGTAAGCCTTCACCTGAAGTACAATAAAATATTAAAAAAAAAAAAAGAAAAACTCTATTTTAGATGGGGGAAATTTTGCTCCCCCTACCCCCCCAAAAAAAAAAAAAAAAACCCCACAAGAAAAGATGCTCAATCTCACTACGAACCAGGAAAGTGAAAATTCAAATAATATACTATTGTTTTGCCCATTAAATTGGCAAAAAAATTTAATGTTGATAATAATATTAAGTATTAGCAAGGACATGGGGAAACAAGTACTATCATGTGTACTGCTAGTGGGAACATAAATACAGTCCCTTCAAAGAGCAATTTCGCATTATCACTTAAAATACTAAAAATGCGGATACTCTTCAATCAAGCAATTCTACTTGCTAGTCTGTATTTCAGAAAAAGACTCAAACAAGTTCTCAGAAAGGCAAGTATAAAGACTTTCAACATGGGATACTTAAAATAGAGAGAAATTACCTCCTAACGTCCAATCAAGAGGGAAATGGTTGAGGAACCATATATCTGATAAAGGTTTAACATCCAGATTATATAAAGAACTCCTGCAGCTTAACAACAAAAAGACAAACAATTCAATCAAAAAATAGATAAAGAACTTGAACAGACATTTCACCAAAGAAAATATACAAATGACCAACAAGCACATGAAAAGATGGTCAACATCATTAGTCATTAGGAAGATGCATATCAAAATCACAATGATATATCACTTCATCCTCACTAAGATGACTATGATTGAAAAAAAGGAAAACAGGTGTTGGCAAAGATCTGAAGAAATTAGAACCCTCATCCATTGCTGGGAGGATTGTAAAATGGTGCAGCCACTGTGGAAAACAGTTTGGAGGTTCCTCAAAAAGTTAAGCATAGAATTAGCATATGATTCAGCAATTCTACTCCTAGGACATATCCAAAAGAATTGAATGCAGGACTTCAAACCAATTTGTTCCAGTTTCAAACCCCTGCTGAGAATCTATATTTCTAACAAGTTCCCTGCTGAGAATTTGCATTTCTAACAAATTTCCAGGAAGTTATACGTAAGAATCACCTGGGGATCTTATTAAAATGTAGATTCTGCATAACTACCACAGCCTCCACCAGACTGACTCCAGCACAATTAGACGGTGTCTAGCTACCACCACTGACTGCTCTGACAGGGATCACAGTAGAGGGTCCTGGACAGGGCTGGAGAAAAATGTAGAACAAAATTCTAACTCACAAAAAAAGACCAGACTTACTGGCCTGACAGAGACTGGAGAAACCCCAAGACTAT